ACAAGGACATTATACACATTATATACATCTGTGTATAATGTCCTTGGTATATACAAGATCCATGATACGACAGTTCCAAGAAGGTATGACAGCCCGTGTCCAAGACGATGGAGAAACCTCCACAGCCTTTCCAGTGACCAATGGAGTGAAGCAAGGGTGTGTCTTGGCACCAACCCTCTTCAGTATTGTCTTCACAGCCATGCTGACTGATGCCTTTCACGGCACCAAGGAGGGAATAGACATCAAATACAGAACAGACGGGAAGTTACTAAACCAACGTCGCCTGCTTGCGCTAACGAAGGTGAAGCACACAGTCCTGAAAGACTTCCTCTTCGCCGATGACTGTGCCCTTAATGCCACAAGCGGACAGGATATGCAAGTATCAACCGACAGGTTCTCTGGGGCTTGTGACAACTTTGGTCTCATCATCAGCACCAAAAAGACGGAAGTCTTGTACCAACCACGTCCCGGCAAACCTTACAAGGAACCTTGTGTCACAGTACATGGCCAAGTCCTAAACCCTGTGGACAAGTTCACCTACTTGGGCAGTACCATGTCACGGCAGGCAAACATAGATGAGGAAGTGAACGGCAGAATCTCTAAGGCCAGCAGTGTTTTTGGGAGACTTCGACGCAATGTCTGGGACCGAAGGGGAATCAAGCTCAGCACAAAACTTAAAGTGTATCAGGCAGTAGTCATTACTACTCTTCTCTATGCCTGTGAGACTTGGACAGTTTACAGAAGACATGCAAAACAACTAAATCACTTCCACACAACATGCCTTCGTAGACTCCTTAAAATTCATTGACAAGACCACACCCCAGATACGGAGGTACTTTCCCGTGCCAACATGCCCAGCATTCACACCCTCATAGAGAAAGCCCAAGCAAGGTGGGCAGGACACGTCCGACGGATGAACGACAGCCGCATACCCAAAATGCTGCTGTATGGTGAACTGGCTGAAGGCAAAAGGCTAGCGGGCCGCCCCAAGCTCCGCTTCAAGGACAGCCTCAAGGCAACTCTGAAGAGCCTCAGCATTCCCGTCGAAAACTGGGAGGACGCTGCCACTGACCGTCACCAGTGGCGCAGACTAGTCCACCAGGGCGCCGAGCTTGCTGAGCGTCGTCGCATCAGCCTGGCTGTCAGTAAGCGGGAGGCACGAAAGGCGAGGGAGAAAAACCCGTCTCTGCAGCCACTACCTAAACACAAGTGTGACGTCTGCGGCAGGTGCTTCCGGGCTAGAATTGGACTCGTCAGCCACACCCGGACACACAAGGACTGAAGTTGGGGTCATCATCGACTACGATGGACGAACATCATCATCATCAATAACGATATCCCCATCCCAGAGGTCGCTGATGTATATTCTGTATCTGATCCGATCCATGCTGAAAGCTCAGGCCTCAGGGGAAAATGAAGAAGATGGTAACACTATTGGAAATATTGAAAAAGAACAGCAAAACACTCAGAACGTCATGCTAGCAGACAGTACAGTGAATGATGAGTGTGACATGGAACCTTATGCTGTTACAAACATGTCCGATCACCAAACCTATCTCAACACAACAACAAATGTTCGCCAACAGGCTCCAAAGGCAGACAGCAGCATAGTGACTGATGATGGTGACATGGAACCTTACGCTGTTACAGACCATGAAATTTATTTCAGCAGAACAACAAACATTCGCCAACAGGCATCAGATGGCTCAAGTCATGACACCACCAAAAATGTACACAAGCCTCGCAATCCTCCAAACGCAAAACAACTTCGTCAAAATCCGATGTACATACCAAACAACCAACAACCTTGCGGTAAGTTTAATATACATTTTGAATGTTGTAACTGTTTTGACATAATAATTGTAATAATTTCCTGGTTGCATATTGGCTTATTAGGTATGTATGCCATGCATATGTTTTTTTCTTGTGAGAAATACTACTTATAAAACCTATTTTAAAAGGTTTTTGTTGCAAAGCATCGAAGATGTTTTCTCGTTACTTTTGTGGTTGTCCCGCTTCTGGTGGGAGGAATCATCACGGTAGTCTATCACAACACCCCAGGCATCAAAAAGGTAAGGTCAACATCTTTGTCTGTCTCAATTTTACCCCTCAAGTTTAGGCCGCCCCAATTTCATTTGTTGGTTCTTGGATCTTTCAGAAAAAAAATTAAAGAGACAGGGCACAGACGTTGGCTGAAGAGAGAGGAAAGTGGCGGGCCCTGACGGAGCTATACAGTGTGTGAGTGAGTGAGTGAGTGAGTGAGTGAGTGAGTGAGTGAGTGAGTGAGTGAGTGAGTGAGTGTGTGAGTGAGTGAGTGAGTGAGTGTGTGAGTGAGTGAGTGAGTGTATGTGTGTATGTGTGTGTGAGTGAGTGAGTAAGTGAGTGAGTGTGAGTGTGTGAGTGGGTGATTGGGTGAGTGAGTGAGTGAGTGAGTGAGTGTGTAAGTGAGTGAGTGAGTGAGTGGGTGAGTGAGTGAGTGGGTGAGCAATAGGTTCAAACATTAATTTTACATTTCTTCTTGTTTTTTCCAGACTATGCAAGAAGTTAAGAACTTCAGTACACTGAATGAAACAGAACTGATACATGTACCTACTATCTGGACCACTGACGGTACCAACTCACCCAGCATTGGTGGTGTCAATGGTACCAACCCACACAACCTTGGGACCACTGATGGTACCACCCCACCCAGCCTTGAGACTACTGATGGTACCACCTCACCCAACCTTGGGACCACTAATGGTACCACCCCACCCAACCTTGGGACTACTGATGGTACCACCCCACCCAGCCTTGGGACCACTGAGGGTACCACCAACCCAGCCTTGGGACCGCTGAGGGTACCACCCCACCCAGCCTTGGGACCACTGAGGGTACCACCCACCCAGCCTTGGGACCACTGATGGTACCACCATACCCAGCCTGGGGACCACTGTTGGTACCACCCCACCCAACCTTGGGACCACTGATGGTACCACCCCACCCAGCCTTGGGACCACTGAGGGTACCACTACACCCAGCCTTGGGACCACTGAGGGTACCACCCCACCCAGCCTTGGGACCACTGATGGTACCACCCCACCCAGCCTTGGGACCACTGAGGGTACCACCCCACCCAACCTTTGGACCACTGAGGGTACCACCCCACCCAACCTTGGGACCACTGATGGTACCACCGCACCCAACCTTGGGATCACTGATGGTACCACCGCACCCAACCTTGGAATCACTACTGAGGGTACCATCCCACCCAGCTACAGTAAGACTTAGTGTAATTATGTATTAATGATACTTAATATGTATTATCATATTGACTGGCTACATCTACCAATGAGATGCCTCCATTTCCCATTGGTTATCAGGCCATAACATCATAAGTGGTGAATAATGAAAAAAGTGGTCAGTTATTAGAATAACCAACCACTTCTGGGACTGTACCATTATACAGGGGACAGGAGACTAATATTAGACGTTAAAAGACTTGTAGACAGTATGTCTATCTATTCAGCAAAGTATTGTAGTGTGTTTTCAATGATTTATTTCAATATACAATACAATTAAGTGTGTGTCATCTGGGGTTA